CCGTGGGAACTGGGCCCTCCGCCTGCGCTCTGACCCAGCAGGGCGCTTCCTCCCTTCCGGCTCCACAAGCCCTCCCTCGGTCTGTGGGGCGAAGGAGCCCCGGCGCAGCCGGGAGGGTCGGCTCCTCCCAGCCCAGGGAGCTGCACGTGGGGCCTACTCCGCCGGCCACGCTCGGCTCGTCTCCCCCAGCAAAGCTCCGCAGCAGCTCGCCGGGCAGCCTTCTTGGCGCAGGCGGCAGCGCGTCAGTCTCATAATCTGAAGGTCCTGAGTTCGAGCCTCAGAGAAGGCAGCTTTTGGCAGCCTGCTCTTGCCAGGGACGTGGGACGGGAGGCGGGTCGCCCACCAGGTGACGGAGAGCTGTACTGCTCTTGGCTCACCATTGTCTCTGGGCACAAGTTCAAGGGAGCCAGCATGAACAGGGGGATTTCTATATTGTGCAATATTGGGGTCACAATGTGTAGGGACGGAGCAGTAGGGGCCCTGCATGACCATCCCTGGTGTTCCAGATGCTGTACTTTTACCAGTATGGTTCCCCTGGGTCACTGGGTAGCCTGCTCTTGATGGTTCCACCTGCATCTGAGGCTTCCCTCAGGGAAGGGCCTTCATGGTGGTGGCCCATTTCCGTGTAAGTCTACATGTGGAGGACAGGCCAACACCAATGCCAAGTTGCTTCTAGTTCCACCTGGAAAGTTCTTCCTTCCTGGAAGTCTTCCTTGATTGACCAGCTAACTCTGTGTGTGTGTGTGTGTGTGTGTTAAATTCATATTTTTTTAATATAGAGTTTTATTCTTTTTACTTTTTATTGTTTGCCATTACTGAAATTGTTTAGATGTCGAGCGCTTTATACAAGTTGTATTGAAAGAATGAAAGCCTTTTTCTTTCCAAGAGGTAGCTGTGATCGCCTTTTACAGCAAAAATAGAGGACCCAGTGGTGTTTTAAAGAGTGGCAAATCTATTCTGGCCTGCTGTCTGTATGTTTTGGACCATAACATCCAGCATTTCTGACCAATAGCCATGCTGGTTATGACTGATGGGAGCTGAAGTTGAAATCACATAGAGGGCATCCGGCTACTCCAAGAGACCTCCGTGCTGCCAACAGCACTCCAAGTGCCCTGTAACTTTGCACCAATGGAAAAAAGTAGTATTTTTCCCTCTGCTAGCTACCCTGTTTCCCTGAAAATAAGACCTGATCAGAAAATAAGCCCTAGCATGATTTTTAATATAAGCCCTACTCCAAAAATAAGCCACAGTTAAGATCGTCAGCCAGACGGACGCATATAGCACGTCTGTTGCAACACAATTTGGGGTTTGGAGAGTTACAACAATGTTCCAGAAGATGGCATGACTGTATTTGAATAAATGTCGATTGTTGTACGCGAAAAAATGTCGGTTTTTGTTCAGGAAAAAATAAGACATCACCTGAAAATAAGTCCTAATGCGTCTTTTGGAGCACAAATTAATATAAGACTCGGTATGATTTTCAGGAAACACAGTAGTTAGAGTAAGCTGTGCTCTGTTTATCTCTCTTTTGACTGACGGCAGGCGCCGTTTGCGGCTGCGCTGCTCTACGGAACTGAAAGTGAAGGGAGGGGAAGGAGGAGGCGGGAAAGCGCGAGGGGGGAAAAAGGAGGCTGTTTCTGCCCGGTTTCGAACCGGGGACCTTTCGCGTGTGAGGCGAACGTGATAACCGCTACACCACAGAAACACCGCTCGGCTGCTGCCTCTCCGTCAGCCCGCCCGTGCCTGTGCCCGCAGGCAGGAGCCCAGCTGCAGCTGGGTAGCCAAGCCGCCGCCACAGGCAGCGCCGGGCACCCAAAGGGTCTGGCGCTCAGACCCACAGGACAACAGAAGAAAAGAAGGCACACAAAAGCACAACAGAAGAAAAGAAGGCACACAAAAGCACACGTTTGCCGATGTTTATTTACAAATGCGTTGGTCTCTCTGGGTCTCCTTAAAAGACCTCGTCTTGGAAGGACACCCCATCTGCACGACGGGTGACTGGACAAGGGAAAGGGGGGCATCTGATTTCAGCAAAAACTCGCAGCCAGAAAGGTTTGGAGGGGAGTGGGGGCAGCACGAAGGGTGAAAAGGGGGCCAAAACCAGGCCTTCCCTCTCAGCATACTTCAGCTCATAGACTCTTAACCTGACCTACCTCACAGGATTGTTATGAGGAGAAAATGGAGAGGATTATGTCGTTCCCCTTTTACTCTACACTGGTCAGACCTCATCTGGAATTGTGTGTCCAGTTCTGGGCACCAGGATTTAAGAAAGATGCAGGAAAATTAGAAAGGGTCCAGAGGAGGGAAACAAAAATGATCCAGGGTTTGGAAACTGCCCTGTGAGGAGGGACTGAGGGAACTGGGCATGTTCAGCCTTGAGAGGAGAGGACTGAGGGGGGACATGATAACCCTCTAGAAGTACCTCAAAGGATGTGACAGAGAGGAAGGTCAGGATCTTGCTGATCCCAGACTGTAGGACACGGAAGAATCAATTCATGTTGTGACAACCCAGATTCAGGCTGGACATCAAGAAAAGCTTCCTCATGGTCAGAGCAATACGACAGTGGAAGCAGCTGCCTGGAGAGCTGGTGGACTCTCCCACACTTGAGACATTCAAAAAGAAACTGGACAGCCTTCTGAGCGGGGTGGTGTGAACTGGTGTCCTGCACCAGCAGAAGGTTGGACCTGATGGCCTTCTTGGTCCCTGCCAACTCCACTATTCTATGATTCTATGTAAGCCGCTTTGACTTCCTTGCAAGAAAAAAGTGGGCTATAAATATAATTGTAACCCAAGTCTCCCACTCAAACAACAGTACCAACTGTCTATTATTTAAACATTTCTAGGCTGCTTTTCAAGGCAGAAGCCCTCCCAGGAGAGCTTGCCAAAGTAACATAGACTGCAAAAGGACCCGATGGACCCTCAAAGAAAACTTCTTGTCAGAGGTGTGGGGCCACTGCAGAAAAGCCCCCTATCGTATTTTTGTCCACTAAACAGCCCTCAAAGGTGGGGAAATGGGAAGCAAGTGCCTCTTTTCTGTTCAGGGTGTTATGGGTGAAGGAGCTTCTTTGAGTAATTTGGCTGCAAACTGTTTATCTTATGAAAATGATGGAAAATTAGAAAGACTTCGACATCACAAAATGGATAAAAGGGAGTACTGACATACTTTATGCATGTGTTTTAATTGCAAGAATTCATGCAAGAATTCTCACGTTTTCACTCCAACTTTGGGAACAGATTCATATGTTCTTGTACGGGGTGGGGCCAACCTTGCCCCATAAACTCTCTGGGGTCCCCAGGATAATCTCAGTATTATCCATGTGGGGGTGAATGTGTGGTCAGTATTTACCAATTAAAAGAAAAACCAAACTAGTGGCATTCGTTCTACAAAATCCTACACACATAAGAAACACCTTGGGAATAGATAAGCAGTTGGAAAGAGGAAGATTTAAAACAGAAGCACTGGGGAAAATACTAAATGCCACGACCACCAGTCAAAAGTCCAGAAAGTAAAAAATGGTAGGTCAGGCTAAGACCATGTATAAAATTGTGCCTGTGCATTTCTGAAGTGGGATTGTGAAGTATTGTGCTTCACCCCAAAATGAATCCCACCTGATCTTCAGAGGACCCACAATTTTTGTTCAGTATGTACTATGTGTTGTCCCCAGGGTGTTAACCCTATTTCAATCTGAGGGCCAAATTAAAAATCAGCAACAAAGGACTTGGGAAAGGCAATTCAACCTTTTAAAATAGGGGTGGAAATGCAGAATGCTGATGTCACTGCAGGCTTCAATTACCTGGTTACATTTAAATGTATTTATTTATTAATGCATTTTTAACATGAAACAACCCCACACTGCACACACTAAGACTCCCTTTAGTAGGTATGCCAAGTTTCTAGTACCTCAGTTTTCTGCTCTTGGAGATATGGTCCAGGCAGACAAAATTCCTCTTTTATTATTGTAAGTATTCATACCCAGCCTTTTAAACCAGAAATATCAAGGGGTAACTAACACAAAGAGTTTATGGATGCAACAAAGCAGTTATAAAAACACAATAACCAAACAACTAAAATATGAATTACAAGACTTAAAATCAGCAAAGCCGTAACCTACATTATTTTATACCCTTTTCTCAATTAAATGTTTACCAAAAACATTATGCATCAACCAAATCCATGCCAGGTTAATAAACAAAAAGTCAGCTGAAGTTTCTCTGCAGCAGCCCCCCACCCCAGGCCATAATGGGTGGGGATGATGGGAGCTGTGGTCCACCAAATCCAGAGGGTGTCAAATTGGGGAAGACTGCTCATGGAACCACAAGCAGAATTGGACAATCACTGTAAATAATACTGAACAAAGTGGATTAGCCATCTCCCAGGAGAATGGTTTAAGATCCCGTGATGGCTCTATTTGTCCCTTGGGCTGGAGGTTCCCCTCCCCTCATCTAAATCATCTCTTAAAAGGGGGCTGGAATCCATAGGCATGGAGAAGTATGCCTTTTTCCTCCTGTGAGCCTTGTGGCAGCTTCTGGGGAAGTAGGTAGCTACTTAAATTTGGGAAATAGCATGAAAGGAATGGGTTAACCTTTCTCACTACTGCTGCTCCTACTAAAACTGATTCTTTTTAACTTGGAAAGTGACGGTAGAAAGCATCGAGAAATTCTATCACAGATCTCCAATCTATTTTCGTCTGAAGTATCTCTCTTTCATAAGCTTCTTTCCTTTTCAACATTTAAATGGCTGTTTTTCCCACTTTCAACATTTCTACCGTGATCTCTTTGACCGATGCAAGACAGGCACTCCGGCAGAAATTTTCTCTGCAGCGCAAGCTTCCGCAGGGTTTGCATGGCTCCGCTCATGTTTCATACGTGCCGCGTTCAGTTTAAAGCTTTTGCCGCACTTGGTGCATTGAAAGGGTTTCTCTCCTGTGTGGGTTCTCTGATGTGCAGTGAGATGTGAGTTCTGATTAAAGCTGTAGCCACATTCAGAACATTTGTATGGCCTAACCCTTGTGTGGATCCTCCTGTGGACAATGAGATGAGATTTCTGACTGAAACTTTTCCTGCAATCTGAACATTTGTATGGCTTCTCTCCGGTGTGAATTCTTTCATGTTTAACTAGAGTGGAACTCAGGCCAAAGCTCTTGCCACAGTGCAAGCACTTATGCGACTTTTCTCCCGTGTGGATCTTCTCATGCCTCCGAAGGTCAGGCCTCCGCCGGAAGCTTTTCTCACAACCGGAACATTTGTATGGCTTGACCCCTGTGTGGATGCCTTGGTGTGAAGCAAGATGGGAACTCCGGTGGAAGGTTTTCCCACAGGCTGAGCATTCATAAGGTTTCTCTTTCCTGTGTGTTCTCTGGTGTTTTGTAAGGTGTGTGCTCTGGCTGAAGATCTTCCCACACTCTGAACATTGAATGGGCTCCTTTCCCATGTGGGCCCTCTTATGCTTAAGAAAAAGCGCACTCTGACTAAACACTTTCCCACATTTGGGGCATTCCTTTTGCTTCGTTTCTTTACAAGTTTGCTTCTGGGCAGTGCTTTTACCAATATCCTGGCAGTCATTGTGAGAAGACACCGGTTTCTCCTGTCTAGCCCCTTGTTCAGCGTTTTTCCGCCTTTCTGATCTGCGCTGATGCTGTGGCGTGTCTCTTCCACCCTGATCCTGGGGCAATTTTTTTTTGCCTTGTCTCAAAGAAGTATCCTGACATACATTGTTCTTGGGCTTTTCTGGCAGCGGATTTGTTTCCTTCTCTTTTAGACATAACTGCCCATCATGCACTGTAATAAGGGAGGAAAAGATAATCGAGTGAAGATGCCTCAACACCTCTGAGTACAGTAAACAACACTGAATACAAACTAAGCAAACATGTATAGGATTGCCCTGACTTTATTTCTCGATGTACTTAGCTCATTTCTTATCCACCTTTCCAAAAGCCGTGGCCATCCCAAGGAGATGCAAAATAGAAAACAGTGGCACTGGTTATGGGAAATTGTTTATTTTAACTCTTCTTTATTGTAAGCCGTTCTGAAATGTCAGTAGTGGATGGAGTGGAAATGTTTTAAACAAACAAACAAATAAAATTGCACATATGGAGAAATTGACTACACAGGCTAGATTCCCGAGAGGTGAAATAAAAACAGGTAATTTCATTAAGATTTGGCACCCCTTACTGACCTTGAATATGAAATCAAATATTGAGATAAATATGCTGGGTAAACTCACTAGTATATTGGTCTGCTATTTCATAAGTATATTTTTCTCCTTCATGGATCACTGCCTTGTTGTGGCGAATGGGCTTGAGTAGCTCAATGAAGCTATGAGCTATGCCGTGCAGGGCCACCCAAGACGGGCAGGTCACAGCAGAGAGTTCTGACAAAACGTGATCCACTGGAGAAGGAAATGGCAACCCCCTCCAGTATCTTTGCCATTAAAACCCCATGAATAGTTCCAAAAGGCAAAAAGATATGACGCTGGAAGATGAGCCCCTCAGGTCAGAAGATGTCCAATATGCTACAGGGAAGAGCAGAGGGCTAGTACTAGTAGCGCCAGAAAGAATGAAGCGACTGGGTCAAAGCTGAAAGGACACTCAGTTGCTGATGTATCTGGTGGTGAAAGGAGAGTCCGATGCTGCAAAGATCTATACTCCATAGGAACCTGGAATGTAAGATCCATGAATCAAGGCAAGCTGGATGTGGTCAAACAAGAGATGATAAGACTGAACACTGACATCTTAGGAATCAGTGAACTAAAATGGAAAGGAATGGGTGAATTTAATTCAGATGACCATCAGGTATACTACTGCAGGCAAGGATCCCTCAGAAGAAATGGAGTAGCCTTCATAGTCAATAAAAGAGTAGGAAAAGCAGTACTGGGATACAATCTCCAAAATGACAGTATGATCTCAGTTCGAATCCAAGGCAAACCATTCGACATCACAGTAGTCCAAGTCTATGCCCCAACCACTGGTGCTGAAGAGGCTGAAGTTGACCGGTTCTATGAAGGCCTACAACACCTTCTAGAATTAACACCAAAAAATGATGTCCTTATCATCATGGGGGATTGGAATGCTAAAGTAGGAAGCCAAAAGATAACCAGAATAACAGGCAAGTTTGGCCTTTGAGTACAAAATGAAGCAGGGCACAGGCTGGTAGAATTTTGTCAAGAGAATACGATAGTCATAGCAAACACTCTTTTCCAACAACCCAAGAGACAACTCTACACATGGACAACACCAGATGGTCAACACAGAAATCAGATTGACTATGTGCTCTGCAGCCAAAGATGGAGAAGCTCTATACAGCTTCGGCTCCTGGTCAGTAAAAACTAGACCAGGAGCCGACTGTGGCTCAGATCTTGAGCTTCTCATTGCAAAATTTAGGCTTAAATTGAAGAAAGTAGGGAAAAGCACTAGGCCACTCAGGTATGACCTAAATCATATCCCTGATGAATATACAGTAGAGGTGACAAATAGATTGAAGGAATTAGATCTGATAGACAGAGTGCCTGAAGAACTATGGACGGAGGTTCACAACATTGTACAAGAGGTAGCAACTAAAACCATCCAAAAGAAAAAGAAATGCAAGAAAGCAAAATGGCTGTCTGAAGAAGCTTACAAAGAGCTGAGGAAAGAAGGAAAGCGAAAGGCAAGGGAGAAAGAGAAAGATACACCCAATTGAATGCAGAATTCCAGAGAATAGCTAGAAGAGATAAGAATGCCTTCTTAAATGAACAGTGCAAAGAAATAGAAGAAAACAATAGAATAGGGAGAACCAGAGATCTCTTCAAGAAAACTGGAGATATGAAGGGAATGTTTCATGCAAAGATGGGCATGATAAAGGATCAAAATGGCAGGGACCTAGAAGAGAAGAGATCAAGAAGAGGTGGCAAGATTACGCAGAGGAACTATATAAGAAAGAGCTTAACGTCCCTGATAACCATGATGGGGTGGTCACTGACCTCGAGCCAGACATCCTGAAATGTGAAGTCAAATGGGCCTTAGGATGTCTGAGCAACAACAAAGCTAGTGGAGGTGACAGTGTTCCAGCTGAGCTATTCAAAATCTTAAAAGATGATGCAGTAAAAGTGCTACACTCAATATGCCAGCAAACTTGGAAAACTCAACAGTGGCCACAGGATTAGAAAAGGTCAGTTTACATTCCAATCCCAAAGAAGGGCAATGCCAAAGAATGTTCAAACTACCGCACCATTGCACTCATTTCACATGCTAGCAAAGTTATGCTCAAAATCCTACAAGCGAGGCTGCAGCAGTATGTGCACCGAGAACTACCAGAAGTACAGGCAGGATTTCGAAGAGGCAGAGGAACTAGAGATCAAATTGCCAACATACGCTGGATCATGGAGAAAGCTAGGGAGTTCCAGACAAACATCTACTTCTGCTTCATTTACTATGCTAAAGCCTTTGATTGTGTGGATCACAACAAATTGTGGCAAGTTCTTAAAGAGATGGGAGTACCAGACCATCTTATTTGTCTCTTGAGAAAACTATATGCGGGTCAAGAAGCAACAGTGAGAACTGGACACGGAACCACTGATTGGTTCAAAATTGAGAAAGGAGTTCGGCAAGGCTGTATATTGTCACTCTACCTATTTAACTTATATGCAGAGCACATCATGAGAAAGGCGGGGCTAGATGAATCACCAGTTGGAATTAAGATTGCTGGGAGAAATATCAACAACCTCAGATATGCAGATGATACCACTCTAATGGCAGAAAGTGAAGAGAAACTAAAGAGCCTCTTGATGCGGGTGAAGGAGGAGAGTGCAAAAGTTGGCTTGAAACTCAACATTAAGAAAACTAAGATCATGGCATCTGCTCCTCTCACTTCCTGGTAAATAGATGGGGAAAAAATGGAGGTAGTGACAGATTTTATTTTTCTGGGCTCCAAGATCACCGCAGATGGGGACTGCAGCCAAGAAATTAAAAGACACTTGCTCCTTGGGAGAAAAGCTATGGCAAATCTAGACAGCATACTAAAAAGCAGAGACATCACCCTGCCAACAAAAGTGCATATAGTCAAGGCTATGGTTTTCCCAGTTGCAATGTATGGCTGTGAAAGCTGGACCATGAGGAAGGCTGAGCACCAAAGAATTGAGGCCTTTGAACTGTGGTGCTGGAGGAGACTCCTGCGAGTCCCTTGGACAGCAAGGCGATCAAGCCGGTCAGTCCAAGAGCAGATCAACCCTGACTGCTCTTTAGAAGGCCAGATACTGAAGATGAAACTCAAATACTTTGGCCACCTAATGAGAAGGAAGGACTCCCTGGAGAAGAGTCTAATGCTGGGAACAATAGATGGCAAAAGAAGAAGGGGATGGCAGAGGATGAGGTGGCTGGATGGAGTCACTGAAGCAGTTGGTGTGAGCTTAAGTGGACTCTGGGGGATGGTGGAGGACAGAAAGGCCTGGAGGAATGTTGTCCATGGAGGCGCAATGTGTCAGACACGACTTTGCGAGTTTAAAATAAACTCAGGCAGCAGAACTGGGAAAGACTCGCTGCCTGAAACCTGGGAGGCCAAGCACCAGTGAGAGGAGTCCAACCCATACACTCCCTTTTCCTACCTGTCTTGCTGACTTCACACCTGTTTCCTTCCATGGTGCCTTGGAGGTACTGGATTAAAACTACCTCGTCCTCTTCTTCTGTGCAGGGGTTCTGATCCGAGTTGCTGAGGGAAAGAACTGATGAAAAAGTGAAGTTGGAGAGAGGAGGATTGTTATTTCAAGGTGAACCTTTGGTGAACCACTCTTTTACATTTCCCGGCTCAAAGAAATCATGGGGTGCTTGCTCGCTGCACTAGCATAATTTCCACCCTTCAGGGAGTTCTTTTATATGCTGCTTTTGCTGGCATTACAAAAGTGACAGGGTACAAGCAAGTCTGTGCCAGCACCAACCTCCTCTCCTTGACCTCCCTTTGTTGACCAGGAAGATCTGAAAAGACGGTGGAAACACAGTTGGCTAGATGCCTTATGGCCCTTCCCATGATCATGAAATCCTGGCTAGGCAGGGCTCTGTACTGTACAGAGAACAAGCTGGGGATGATGGTTAGTTCCAGGACCTTCAGGGCTCTTGGGCCAAGGAGTCACAATGGGACTCTACCTTTCTACCACCACAGCTTCCCAGAACCTATGATTGTCCTTCTCCAGCAACTCCCACCAGGGGAAAGGCAGGTAGAGGGCCTTTTCTGCTGTGGCCCCTTGATTCTGTTCTCAGAAAGCCTTACCTGGTGCCTATATTAGGTTCTTCTCAATGCTAAGTGAAGACCCTGGTATTTTCCCAGACATTTTAGTTTTTCCATTTCTGTTTCAAATCTCGTATTGTTTTTTAAATCTGTGAGCTAGGTTCTGTTTGATTATCCTTTTCATTCTACTTTTTCAGTGCGAATTTTACATTTTTACAACTTTGTTATTTTGTATTTACAGCATACAATGTACGGAGCATTTTACCATCTTGTATGGCTTTACTTGCTGTGAACTTCCTAGAGTGCATCAGTGATAGGACAGTATAGAAGTATAATCAATCGATCAATCAATCCATATTTATTTATTGCAAGCCATCCCGAGATGCTTACAATAAATATATATGGGTAGAAAAGTTTTTAATAAATAATAAAAACTGGTTCCTCTCCTCTTTTGCATGAAGCTGTCCCAGTTTCTCCACCTCTCTGTTGTCTGAGCCGGAAGGAGAGGCGAGCAAACAAGCAGGCTGAAACGGAGAAGCAGGGCAGCAACTGTAGGGAGCTTGACAGAGGGAACCTGCTTGGGTGTGGACCCTTGGCAAGTGCCCGACCATTCCTACCCTCTATGCTGGTCCAGTTAATGGTGCTTGTAGCCCATACTTCTGGCGGGCACCAAGTTGGGGAAGGCTGTGAGATGCCAGGCAGGGATTAACAAAGTGCAGTGACAAACACAGCCCTAAAATAAATGCATTCTTACCTAATGAGGTCACATTTTCATAATTCTCCTCCATGACCTCTCTGTACAAGTTTCTCTGGTGTGAGTCCAGGAGAGCCCACTCTGCCTGGGTGAAATGCACAGCTATTTCCTCAAAGGACAGCGGCTCCTGGAACAACACAAAATGCAGATGAGTTGGGTCCCAGTGCAAGTTAGGGCTTGTCAACTCTCGCACATGGGAGATGTGAAGCCACAAGAAGGAAGCAAGTGCCAACAGATGTGGGGAGTTCTGGGTTGGTTGCATTTGTTTGCGGTATACTAGACAACACATATGAAAAGCCGTCTAAACCTATCGCAACACATGATTTTTAAAATGAAGAGCAGATTTGGGTAGGTACAGTTTTAAGCCATGAAGAGTAGTTGAAAGGGAGGCCTTCTTATTTTTATATTTTATTTTCATCTTAGATAAGATTCATAAAAAAGACTCTTATCTTTTTTTTATAAAAAAAGACATTAAAAAGACACAGCCTTTTGTTTTGAACAGGTGTGAATCTTCTCTACTCAACCACAACAATCCTCCTACAAAAGCTTTCCCCCCAATACTGGAAGAGATTTCAGCTGCTTTGGGAATCTGTTTATAACTAGATCTCCTTCTAAAAGGAGTCACAAGGTGGCAGAGGGGCTCTCTCAAATCCTCTTTGGTGGAAGAAGAGCCTTTTTAGTCTGGATTAACTAGTCCAGAAGGACTGACCCTTTACCCACAATCCCTTCTTCCTCACCACACAGTTGCCTGCCATTCCCCTTACCTGAGCAACTTTGAACAAGACTGTCTCCTCGCTGCGTCTTCTGCAGGAATGGAGAAACCTAGAGTAGAATGATGATCTTCCTTGGAAATCTAGAAAAGAAACAGTATTTTCCAGACATTCATAGCATGCATTTGTATATGCTGCTCCCCATGCCCATTTCAATGGGGTCTCCAGACAGCTTGCACTATCAGAGGAAAATAATACATAATAAAATATATTTTTAAAAAACCTGACACTTCCTGAAACAACAGAAAGGAACACATTTGAAAAGGTCTGTTTACATCAAGGGTGAGCATCTGACAGAATCCCAGAACTTCAATTTTTGAGAAGGAAATAAAACTCGGGTTCGTGGGAAAGATCAAGCATTTAGACCATCTGCGGCTTTATTGTTTGGCCCAGGTTCCCCACGGATCCATCTCATGATAATGCATTACCAGGAAGGCAGAGGTAAACTCCACTATGAGGTTTCAATACAATTACAGGGTATTTTATACTGTCCTGGTCACTACACAAGTACAGAGCAATTGATAACAGAATGCAAACTTTACAATAAAATTCTGAGGTCATTATATACAGAACAGATAAAGGAAGATCAGCCAATCATACAGTGACAATGAGATTACACTGTTTCTAACTGCAGTGTATTGACATTTCCATTGAGTAACTTCTAGAAACTTGAACCCATTTCCAGGTCTGCTCAGACATGTAAATTCAGGCTGCTGAGAAACTATTCATGAACTCATAAGCTCATCTAGAGTCAGACCCTGAGTAATGGATCCGCACCATTTTGTTTGGCCAGGGCGGGCGCATGGAGCGCTCTGGGCTAGCAAAAGAGAGACTTCCTGGCAAACTGTGAATTTTGGCCAGAAGATTGATAGCTAACGGTTTTTGGCGGGAAGCTCCGCTTCCCCTCCCCCTTGTGGCCTATAAAGAGCAGAGCGTCCGCCATTTTGTTCAGTCTTTGTGACCGAACGTACGGTATCTTAATGGAATTTTTTTTTGTCATCGGTACCGTAAAGGAGATGGTCGGTACCGAAAGTGCCCTCTCTCATCGACATTGAGCTGTCGATGCATCCACTCACCGACACCGAGCGGGGCCGGCGGGCGGGTTGTGTGACTGCACAGATGGCCACTCGAAGAACATCAGTTACAGGTAAGCAACCTGCTTTTCTTCGTCGTGGCCTCTGTGTATCACACATATGCTTACCATCAAAGGAGGAGGGAAGGTGTCCTCATCGAAGGACGGAGGAGAGAACAGCTCTACCGAAGGAGCAGTACCGTCGAGCCCGAACATTGAGACGGTAATGCTTGGCGAAAGTGCAGGGATTCGCCCAAGTAGCGGCTCTGCAGATGTCATCAATCGGAACCCCGCATGCGAATGCAGAAGATGTAGTGACACCTCTAGTAGAATGGCCTCGAGGAACTGAAGGCAATTCGAGCTTAGCTAACTGATAACACAAGACAATAGTGTGGGCTATCCATTTAGAAAGCCTTTGTGGAGTGACTGGGTCGCCCTGATCTCTAGCCGAATATTTAATGAACAGTTTATTGGATCGCCAAATAGACTCTGTTCGCGATCGATAAAAGGCTAAACAACGCCAAACGTCGAGGGAGTGCAAAGATCTTTCCAAGGGATTCGACGGCGATGGAAAAAGGCAGGCAGTACAATGTCTTGTCCTGTATGGAATGGTGTAGAGACTCTGGGCAAGAAAGATGGGTCGAGACGTAAAATGACCTTTTCTCTGTGGAAGTTTAGATAAGGAGGGTCGATGCGGAGGGCACAAAGTTCCCTCCGGGCTGACGTGACAGCTACAAGGAACGCCGTCTTCCACGAAACTAACTGGAGATCCACAGTCGCCAAAGGCTCAAAGGGGGCCTTCATAAGGGCCTGTAGAACTACAGAAAGGCTCCACGTGGGCATAACCGGTCTCATTGATGGATTACGATTATACAGTCCTTTCAAAAATCTCTTGAGGATAGGATGAGAAAATAGGGGTGATCCGTCGACTAAGCCACGGTAGTAGGCTACTGCGGCCGTATACACTTTAATAGAAGACGGCTTCAGTCCAGAGTGATGCAACTCCAGAAGGAACTGAAGAATTTGTTCGATTGATGAGACAAGTGGGGAGAACGAATGAGACTCGGCGAAGGTGGAAAAACGTTTCCATTTAGCCGTATATGACTTCCTTGTGGACGGCTTTAGAGCAGAGTCGATAATATGCTGAATCTCAGGGTGCAAGAGCGTTGGGTTCGAATTCGACGGGGTCTGCCTCGAACCGGATGGTATGGAGAGACTGTGGCAGTGAGAGGCACCCGCATACTTGGATTTGAGAATTGGAACCGAAGCGGTCGAAGTAATCGCCAATACCGATGGATTAAGAGAAGCTGTCGGATTCGAGGCTCTCGAATCTGTCGTCGGCCCCAATGGAAGGTCAATCATCGAATCCGCCACGCTGTCAGGTTCAATGAGAGCAAGTCCGGGTGACGAAGTGTGCCGTCCATTTGCGCTTTAAGATATGGAAGTGCCGGAAGATGAAGAAACTCCCCGCGGGAGATGTCGAGCAGTTTCACAAACCACGCTTGACGTGGCCACCAAGGAGCAACTAGTATCCCCGATGCACGGTCGCTCACTATCTTTGCTATGACCCTCATCAGAAGAGGGATCGGAGAGAAAGCATAGAAGTTGATGTTGTCCCAAGGGATCATGAATGCGTCCCCTAGGGATGCTTGTCCGATTCCCGCTCTCGAACAGTAAGTCTCGCATACCCTGTTCCATCGAGTAGCGAATAAGTCCACATCGGGGAACCCCCAGCGCCTGAAAAGGTGGTTGCGCATACGAGGATCCAGTTCCCACTCGTGAGAAGTGAAGATGCGTCTGCTGAGAAGATCTGCATGCACGTTGTCTGTGTCGGCCGGATGAACGGCCATCAGAGTAATGTGTCTCTGAATGCACCAGTCCCAAATTCTCATAGAAAGCCTGGCTAAGGTTGGTGACTTCGTCCCTCCTTGATTGTTCAGATAAAAAACAGTCGCTATATTGTCCGAAGTTATCTGAACGATCCGATGATGAAGGAGGTCTTAGAAAGAACGAAGGGCTTTGAAGACTGCCAGCAGCTCTAGGAAGTTGCTATGATTCATGGATTCTAGACGAGTCCACGTTCCCTGGGTAGACAGGCCAGAGCATATTGCCCCCCATCCTAGGAGAGATGTGTCGGTACCAAGAGTTATCAAAGGAGGTCGTGCCCTGAAGGGACTCCCATCACGAGATTGGTTGGTTTCAGCCACCAGCACAGGGAGTGGAGCACAGAAGACAGGATCTGAATCCGTTTCGACTGTGGGTCTCTTTGTGGATGATACACCTTGTTGAAGAATAGTTGTAGTGGGCAAAGCCAAAGTCTGGCATGTGGAACTACGGCAACTGAGGAGGCCATATGCCCCAGGACCCTCTGGATGGATCTCGCCGTAACCGTTCCCTCTCATCGAATTCGATGGATATGGCGAGCAAGAGTGTGCTGTCTGTCCTGAGGGAGGAAGGCGTTCTCCAACGTCGAATCCAAGCGGGCTCCAATGAAGGTGAGCGTCCGTGTCGGAAGAAGAGAAGATTTCTCTGTATTAATATGTAGACCCAGACTATCTGGTAAGGTACAGGTTGTATGGATGGTGTCTAGGAGTCCTTCTCTGGATTGCGAGACCAACAGCCAGTCATCGAGGTACAGCTAAATTTGTATGCCCTGAAGGCGCAGGAAGGCACAGACAGGAGCCATGCATTTGGTAAAAACTCTCGGAGCCGTAGCCAGTCCAAAGGGTAAAACTGTGAACTCATAAAGTTGGTTTGCAACAGCAAAACGAAGGAAACGCCTTTAAATTGGATGAATTGAAATATGAAAGTAGGTGTCCTTCAGGTCCAGTGAGGCGAACCAATCCCCTCTCCTTAACAAACAAATGTTTTGAAGGGTGGTCATACGAAACTTTCTCGGTATAATAAACTTATTCAAGTCCCGTAAATCCAAAATCGGACGTAGACCACCGTCCCGCTCGGGGACCGTAAAGTATCTGGAATAGAATCCGTGGAGTCCGTCAGATGGGAATACTTGACGAATCGCTCCTTTAAGGAGAAGTTGATGTATTTCATCGAGAAGTACCGGCGAACATGAAGTAGACCGGATCGGACTCGATGGAGGAACGATGTCGAATTCTATTCGACAGCCATGTTGAATGATGGATAATACCCACCGGTCAGATGTGATGGACTCCCAAATGGAGAGTCGGCTTCGGAGCCATTCCCCAGATGAGAGGGGGGTGGGTATTAGAGGAGCATGAGGAGTGGTTCGCCAGTCCCGTCAGCGCTGCCTCCTGTTGCTGTTTTTGCTGGCGGTGTTGCGGCAGCTGTCTCTGCTGGTATGTCTGCCTGTAGGATGGCCGATTCCAGGACCACTTACGACTGCTATGTGACTGGCTCTCCATCCTGTGCGCCGTCATTCTTGACTCGTGCAGTTTCTTGAGTTTGTGGTTGGTACGCGAATGGAAGAGCCCGGAACCATCAAAAGGCATCTTTTCTATTCGCCGCATGGTTTCCTCCAGGAAATTACAATTCCGAAGCCATGCGTGTCTCCGGAGGGAAACGGCACCGACCAAGGCCCGGGAGTCAGTGTCCACATGGTGATGTGCCGTGGACAACTGCTGCACCGCGACCTGCATGGCTTCTTTGATTAGGACCTTCGCAAGGTCACCCTGGTGGTCTGGGAGGGTGGAGGCAACGTTGTGGAGGCACTGCATAATAAAATATTGATATCGCGCCAACGTCGCCTCGTAGTTGGAAATGTGAAGTCCTAAGCCCGAGGCAGCATAGACCCGCCTGGCGAGGGAATCTATTTTCCGGCCCTCCTTATCCCTCGGCGCCATATGTTCCCTCGCCTCTCTGCCTTGCGAGGATTCGACAACCGCCGAGTTTGGTTTCGGGTGCTTTAGCAGGAAGGGGATGTCTTCTTCCCTGACCCTGTACATAGATTCATATCTCCTGGACGTCAGCTGAGGATGTGAAGGTAGGTCCCAGGGCTGCGTCATCGCCTGCCGCAGGGTAGTTATAAGTGGCAGAACGATAGAGGTCGATTGCTCCCCGCGGACGACGTCGTAAAACTTGTCCGTCGATGGTCCCGGGCGCTGGGCAGCGTCGATGTCCAGGGACTGGACAAGCCTCGACATCAGCTCTGCGAAGGAGACGTGTGACTCATCGGGTGACGCAGGATCCTGGGATGTCACCACGACGTCTGGGGAGGTTGAGTCTACATCAGAGTCATCCGAATCAGCACCATAGTATGGTGGGGCAGAAGATGATGACTCCGCCGATGAGAAGGAGCGGCTGCTTCCGCTTTGCGGGGATCGAGGTGGCACCCTCCTTGAATCCACAGACCATGGTTGGTCGCGGGGTGGAGGTGAGGATCGCGCCCTGGGAGCAGAGTAGTACCCCACAGAGAGCGGATCTCCCCAAGGTTGGTAGTAGGGACGGCGCCAACTCTCCGGGCATTGCTCTACCAAGCGGCTCCTCCGATTCCCTGGTGGGGACAGGCCAGCTTCTGTCTCCAATGTCACCGCGGGCATCGGTGTCAGTGACCTCGCTGTAGGAGGGGAGTCCTGGATTTCCCCATCCAAGATAGACCCCTGTAGAGTTGGAAGGGGTGCAGGCGGGAGGTTGACCGCACGTCGGGGAGACCCCTGAGGGGTGACCCACATGGCCTCTTGAAGGATCGGTTCGGGTGGGGTCGGTATCGTAACCGCCACCGGCACTGAGGGTCCCGTCGGCTCCGAGTCCCGATGTCGGGGATGGTCTGTGGACTTAGCCTTCTTTGGAGGCTTAGAGGCCTTATCCTTTCTGGCCTTCTTATGGCCTGCCGGCTTCTCTTCGGCATGCTTCCGCTTCTCATGCCTCTTTTTTGGTGAGGTAGAGGGGGCCACCGAAGCGGATGCACCTTCATCCGAAGGGCGTGAGGGTGGAGCCACAGGAGCGGAGCCAGGTTTTGGGATAGAGACGAGCAGGTCTGCTTGCATCAGGGCCCTATCCCAAAGGAGCCTCCGAAGCCGGTTCTCGTGGTTCTTCCTAGCCTGCTTTGAGAAGGCTAGGCAATGAACGCATTTATCTGTCCTATGCCCCTCTCCAAGGCAGAGGAGGCATAGGTCGTGCGGATCAGTAGGTGCCATTTTTGACCCGCAGTCTGCACATTTGCGGAAAGCCGCTTGCTGCGCCATCGCAGAAGAAAGAAGAAAAAGAGAGTTAGTGCAGAGGGTAAGTATATATTTTTTGTTTGTTTTTTTTGATAGATCGAAGAAGAAATAACAAGAGAAAACTACACAGAAGCGGGAAACGAAGTAAGGGGAAAGTAGTATAAGGGCAATATATAAGGAGAGAAACAAGAATAGCCAAAGCGAAAGTCGAAAGCGGCACGAGGCACAGCGAATGGCGGTCGCAAAGACTGAACAAAATGGCGGACACTCCGCTCTTTATAGGCCACAAGGGGGAGGGGGAGCGGAGCTTCCCGCCAAAAACCGTTAGCTATCAATCTTCCAGCCAAAGGCACTGTGCAGGCGCAGTACCCATATGTGTGATGCACAGAGGCCACGACGAAGAACAACTAGCTACTAAAGCCAGGAATCTGCCAATATCCTTTTTAAAGCCACCCACCCTGGTGACCATGTGAATTCTGTCCTGACACTACGATCAACATCTGAGGCCTGAAGGCAACAAGGGGAATGATCTCAACACTGAGGGTTGCTTGGTGCCAACAGTCCCTTCTTCTCTGAGCCAGGCTGACGGGCTCTCTACACCCAGGACTTTAGTGATATGCTACCTGCTACCACATTACATTTATACCTCACCCTTCTTCCTCTTGCAAAGACCCCAGGTAGGTATAAAAGTTTTTCCTTCTCACAACAACCCTGCGAGGCAGGCTAAGTGAAGGGTCCATGACTGGTTTGAAGTCTTCCGGTGAGCTTCAGGACCAAGTGAGGACTAAAACCCAGGTCTCCAGATTCCCAGTCCAACACTGGAGCTGCTAAACTGCCATGGTTCTCCAACCAGCTGGTCTGTCTCGGCATATGTGTAAGAGGGTATGTCTGCTGTTTTTATAGGTCTACTTTTTACTGAAGTTGCTTTAGTTTTTCAAATTTTGTTTGTTTCAAACAAAACAGCAAGGCAAAGCACAGCACAGCACCAGAAAAAATCTGTTACAAATTTTGTGTACCAGAATGTTATGGTCTATTTTATCATGTTCATATTTTATTATTGTAGTTTATTATTATCTATTCTATTCTTGTAACTGTGTTCTCTGTATATACTTCTGTATAGCTTGAAGTGCCTGATCCTGCCTAATCTTGAAAGTTACGCAGGGTCAGGCATGGTTGAACTCTGGATGGGTGACTTAAATGTTCTGAACTACCCAGAGCGCTTGGGCAGTAAAGAAATGCAACAACAACACTGCAGTGAACCATTCTGGGTACTGCAGAGGGAGCAGAGAAATTTTACAAAAATCATCATCGGTGTTTACAGCAGCCCACCCAACAGGGTGCCCTCCAGACTACAACTCCCAGAATTCCTGACCATCAGCCATGCCTGGCCACCACCAATAGGCTTTGAAGTCCAAAGCATCCAGAGAGAACCAGGATGGAGGTCGGTCCACATCCACAAAGCACACAAAACAGCACCAGGAAGAAATAGTCACTTTGTCTTACCAGGCAAGAAACACGGGCCTACGTTGTTCCCCAGTTCCAGCTGCAAAATTTCTGAAGAGAGAAAGAGCGGGAAAGGTAAGAATCCTTGGCCCGTTACAAGCCATGGTTTGAGAAAAGGGGTGTTAGAAGTGGGAACTGCAAGGCAGCACAGCAGCGCAGACGTCTCCTCTTCAGGGTCCCAGTCCAGCAGCTGAGCCCTCTTGCGAGGAACTCCATTCCATCCCCTTCACACTCACAGTTTTCAGCTTCCCTCTAACCATCAGCCGCCATCTTGTGGCCACTGAGCACAGCCAGTCTGCACTGTGCTTTTATTTTTGTAGCCTTTGCAGGGCATGGTGGAGCTGAGAAAGAATTGGGCTGGCCGCTGCTCGCAGGGAAGACCACCACCCTAGCCAGACATTCTCTTCCCAGGTAGATCAAGCTTGCGAGGAGGGCAACCTCCAGGTTTCTCCCAAGCTGGCTTCTATCTCCCTCTTAGAATATAAGATGAACCACACTGGATCAGTCCAGGATCCATCTAGCCTGGCCTTGTGTTCGCACAGCTGAGCCCACGCCCAAGTTCCCCAGCAACTGGTGTGCACAGGCATCTTGCCTCAGATACAGGAGCTAGCAGAGTCATGAGGACTAGCAACCCCAGCATACATCACTTTATGCTTGCATCACAAGATGCAAAAGAGGAGCCCACTGAGGAACCAAGGTTCAATCTGGATGCCAGGAAGTACTTCCTGAGAGTTAGGACCCCGAGGGTATGGAATGGGCTTCCACAGGAGGTAGTTGGGGCCCCATCGGTTGGGGTGTTCAAGGATAGGCTGGGTATGCACATGGTGGGCATGTTGTGAGCGGAGCCGGCTGGTGCCGGAGGTCAGACTAGATGGCCCGGGAGACCCCTTCTGACTCGCTCAGTTTCTATGTTTCTATGCCTGCTCACACTAGACTAAATTCAGACTGTGGAATGTGCTCCCCAGAGAGGTTTGCCTGGCGCTGAGCTTATATTCTTTTTGGGGCCAGGTGAAAACCTATTTATTTGAACATCATTTTAAGAATTAGAGATTTTAGAAGTTTAACAGTTGCATTTTTAATATTTTTTCTTTTGAATGTGATTTACTCATTTTTTCTTATTGTTTTAACTCTGTATTTTTATTATTGATTGTATTTATGATTACTATTTATTATTATCTATTGTATTATTGATTGTACTTTTATTATTGTTGCTGTTTTTAAGCTTTGTAAGTCATCCTGAGACGTGGTCGTGAAGGGTGGGGTAGAAATGTATTAAATAAAATAAATAAAATAAACTGTATTTGGTATTTTGATGCTCATCCTCCCAGTCTGGAGAGATCCTTTCAGAGCTCCCAACAAACGAGAAATGTGGTATCATCTGCAAACGTGGCTGTTTTGTGGCTCATTCCTAATTCCAGACAATTTATGGATAAGCTGAAAAGTGCTGGTCCCACTATCTGGTTACATCCCTCCACTGGGCAGCATTCACCATTTATTCCTACTCTGCTTTCTGCTCATTGGCCTGTTACTAATCCATGAAAGGACCTTTCCTATTATTCCACAACTGCTTAGGAGTCTATTCAGATACTTGAGTTCAAAGTTACTATACATAACACCATCTTTTTGCACACCTGAGTCCTACAAGGCCTTTCAGCAAGACCTACTTAAAAAGCATGATTGGTTCATGCAATCTACACACGGTAAAACTTCAGGATGTAGTGCAAGAACAAGCAAAACACACTTGTGCTCAAATATTTGGGGCCGACCATCACAAGTCTCAAAAGGGTGGCCTCGGATGCAAAACCCAACCAAATCCAAAAAGAGGGGCATTAATGCTATGGGCCTTCATATCGATTTCAAGATGGAATTCCACCTGGCGAGTTCATCTTCCATGCCATGAATTAAGTGCCCAGGGTAGCTATTAAGCCTTTCAATTCAACATCAAGGAAGCTGAGCTCACCTTTAAATGTGCGCAGCACCTCCTGCAATACAATCCTCTTCTCAGAAAAATGGTTTATCCTTTGTTCTAGCTCCACAAAGCCGCTTTCAAACTTAGGAAAAGCCCCATTCTTCCTGATAAAGAAAGAGAGAAATTTAAAAATAGGCCTCATTTAGGGCAGAGACAAAAGCACTTTTGGCCTGTAAGTGGTGATGTCATGGAACAGGACACTTCTGAAAGTGTGGTGCAGGACTTTTTTGCAATGATGTCACAGGACAACAGAACCAATCATCCTTGGCTGCATAACGACATCACCCAGAGTCTTAGAGAAAATCAGGAGTATTTTTCCAACAAAACAACAAAAAACCCAACTTTCCTTAACCTGATGCCTTTCACATGTTTTGGACATCAGCTCCCATCAGCCCTAGCCAGCATGGCCAATGGTCAAGAATGGTGGGAGTTGTAGTCCTAAATACCTGGAGGGCACTGGGTTAAGAGAGGATAGTTTAGATTGTGAGCTATGCTTCCCATATGTCACAAATAATTTTTCTTATATTGGTTGCACTGGACGGGCGCTACCGAAAAGAAAAAATTAAAGTGGTTATTATGGGTCAGAAGAGGATATACTGAATTTTCCCACTGCCCAAAAGGTTTTACATGCTTTAGCTTGTTAAGCAGAGCAACAGAGATAATTTTCTTGAAGATGTCCTCAAGCATTTTCTTTAAAGGTGTGGTGGTTAAGAATGCCGAACTGGGACCCGGGTGATCTGGGTTCCAGTCCCCGCTCAGCCATGGAGTCAAGTGGGTGTCTTCGGGCCAGTCACAGACTCTCAGCCCAACCTCCCTCACAGGGTTGTTGTTGTAGGGAGAAGACTGAAAGCAGGAGGAGGGGGGAATTATGCAAGCTGCCTTGAGTTATTTAAAAGAGAAAAAGGCAGAATATAAATACAATAGATAAATAGATAAGAGCTGTGAATACAGAAAGTGTTTCTTTACTGAAGCAGCTTTGCTCCCAAATCCTAGGAAGAGGGGCTGGAGCCTGGATGTACTTATAGCCTCTGACACAACAGGAGAGAAAAAACCAAAACATCCACAGCAAAAGGTATTATCTCTGATTCTTGGCCTGGGGAGAGAAATGGACCCACTGCTTGCCCAGGCGGCTTTGGAGACCCATGAAGCATCCCCTGGACGATTCCATAAACTGAACAGCACCTTCCTAAGTACAGTGGTGCCTCAGCTCATGAACACCTCAGTTCATGACCAAATCGAGCCGCGAACAAATATTTCATAAAATTTTTTCACTCAGGTCGCGAATTCCACATCGGGTGGTGACTGCAATCGTGGCCATCTCCCCCCGCCCCAGTGGGGAGATGGCCGAGGGCCGAGATCGCACCTGTCTTTCCTGAAGGAGCGCAACCGGGATCTCAGCCATCTCTCCCCACAGCCGATCGCACCTGTCTCCCCCCTCACAGTGTGCCCGCATTTGTGCCCATCTCCCCCCCTCCCATGTGCCCAGATGACAGGCACGTGCAGGGATGAGCCGGTAGTGCGGGGGGGGGGGGGAGATGGCCGGGTTGTCACTTTGCTTCACATTTTTGTGAGTATAAAAAGTAGTTACAGAACGGATTAACCTTATTTACATTGAACCTTATGGGGAAATTTGACTTGGCTCACGACCAATTTGGGTCACGACCAGAGTCCTGAAACGGATTAAGTTTGTGAGCCGAGGTACCACTGTACCCTTGAATCTAAAGTGAGGGGACATTTTATTTTATTTATTTATTTATTAAAACATTTTTTATGCCGCCCCATTCGCCGAAGGCCAGGTCCCCAGGGTTGGATGCACAGGTCATAGGACTCCCTCAGCCAAATATGCACAATTCCCCAAACTCCCTAAACCCACCAAAAGATGGGATGCTTAATGCCGATGAAGATTTTGTTTTGTTTTGAAAAGCAGCCCCTTTCTTAAAGCTTCACCCCAGCCAAGCTTCTCTCTCCAACATCTTCAAGAACAAGGCAGTTCCAAAGTCAACCAATTAGTGAATGCATTGTGAATAGCTCAACATTGGGTGAAACGTACCTCTTTTCTGTCCTTCTGGCACTCTGCAGGTGAAAAAGGGAAAGAAAAAGAAAATGTCAAGCACAGAAGAATGGTCTTGCATCTGCACCTGGTGAAAACGTTATTTGTTCTATTCGCCAAGATATATTATTTTGCTGTGAATTTCTTGGTTATACAGAAAGACTTTATCTGCTGCTTCATTATCACGATAACAGGTAATGCGGTAAAAGATCACAAGATGCAAAAGAGGAGCCCTCTGAGGACAGATTTGGGGGTGCAGGATCATTTGCAATAAGAGGAACGGCAGTGTTTTTGGTCACTCTTGCCTGAAATCCCAGCAAGTCTTCTCAACAAGCCACGGTGGAATTCATCTCCCAGATCAGAACAATTCCTAGAGCAAGCCAAGGATTGCCAAGCTGGCTTGATGCCGAACTATAATCCACCCTGTGTGGGTTCAGACAATGGGACATGGCTAGTTACCCATGATGGGGTGTTGGCTTCCTTGCTTATACCTTCCAATTTTTAATCTTTGTTAACCACCCAGAGATGGTTAAGTCATGATGGGTCGTACACGACTTTGTGACTAACGTAATATAAACCACCCAGAGAACTTCTGGCTGTTGGTGGTATAAAAATGAAATAAATAAAAAGTAATAATATAGGGTGGCCATTTACACATTACCCCCCCCCCAAAAAAGGAAATGCATCACCAAGAGAGAGGGCAAAATAGGCCAGAAACATGCATGCAATACGCAAGTCCTAATTTATTTGATTTATTGACCTCATCTCTCCACAAGGAAATGGCACTTAAGGTGCCTTTTTACACGCAGCCTCATATTTAGAAATAACTATTACTGCTTAAATAGAAAGACAAGGGGTCTTCCCTTTTGTTCTTTATCTGGACGGGACCGCCTCTGCAAAACAGGATTCACGGCCACCTTGCATACCACCCTGAAACCCAAAAAGGGACCTAGATGCTCGAATCGACTCACCTTCACCAGTGGATTCCCATCGCCTTCTCCACTCTCGATTACCTGCACCTTCTCAGAGCCCCTGGGAATGGTCCCATCTCTCCTTGTGACGATGTCTCTATCCAGCTCTTCCAGCTTCCGCAACACGAGTCGCTCTTGCACTTCAAGAAATATCCGTAGCTCTTTCCACTGCTGGGTGATATTTGCCCGCTCAGCTTTGGTTTCCCTCTGCAGCGGCAGACACACGGGAAGGGGCTGGGTTACACTCCGAGCACGATGACCAGCGGGCCACATATTTGAACCTTCAGACACTGGGCCCAGCTTGCCTCTTCGGAGCTGGGGCTGCAGCAAAGAGCCGTGAGTGCTAAACTCTCTTTTGTATTTTTGGTCGGGCTCTTGGCAAATTGCAGACAGGGAGCCAAAGCATACTGGAACTTGGCTGGCAACCGCTGTCCTAGATTTAGTAATATTAAACGGCTATTGCTATGCCAGAGATAAGCCCCATGCCTTCAAGAAAGACTTGTCCTTCTTTCACAGCCTGTGAAAGCAGAATGGCCATTTTTCCTCAGCTTTCAATATGTGTACCTTGGCTGACGATTAAGATCAGTCTCAAAAGTCCAGAAAGGCAAGAAGTAAGGGAGCAATGAGTGAGCCAAGTATCTCCCAGCCAAAATTCGTGAATTTTGAATTTCTTGAATTCTTGAATTCAGCGCCCCACACTGCCTATCCTTACGAGGGAAAGAAAACCCACCCCAGGAATAAAATACATGGAATGGGGTGCAAGAATAATAAAAGCATCAAAACACCCACCATCCAGCTGAAGACTAGGACATTTCAGAGAGCAATAGGAAGCTTACCAACAAAGCCACGCTTTTCCTGAGACGTTCCGCTTTCATTTCTTCCCTCTTTTTGTTCGCACTGTCTTGTAACACCTGCAGATCCAAAAAAAAAAAGGCTCTGGATGTTTTGACAGAACTGATATTCGATATTTTTAAAAGCTATTTAATAGGAAACAGAACACCAAAAAAATAAAAACTAGAACACACACACACACACGGACATGGTAGAATAGTTTCTTAAAGATGAATATTATTCTAACAACCACAGACAAAAAAATTAATCATTCTCAGGAAGCCACAAAAGCAGAGTTTTTCCTTGTTTGGGGGAAGTACCAGCTGCTCTCAAATTGCACCTGGAAAATCCTCTTGCAAGTTTGCAACAAATTGTGGACAAACTGGTCCAGCGGGGGGGGGGGGGGGGAGAGAGAGACAGAGAGATTGATTGATTGATTTTCCCTCTTCTGGTTTTGTTAATTTTTCCAGAGGCAGCATCTGGAGACCAATTTCTGATTTTGGGGGAGGGGGGCATTAGAAAAGCAGCAAGAGCTGACCTTTTGTTTGGAAGAGAGAACACAGAAAAGATACGCCCCTTTCTTGAGACGCAGGAGGGGTTGCAACTCTGTTGTCCTCCCAGGGTCCTTCCTCTGAAAGATGCAAACAAGGGCAGTCCATCCTTTAAAGCTTCATCTCAGAGACATGCAAGAGTTGCATCAGCAACAGATGGAGCTTTTTCCCACCCAGGGCCTTCAGCTAACATGGGGATAATCCTTTGAGGACATCATCTGCTTTTTTTCTTTCATGGGATTTCAATGGACAGGACCGTTTACCATTTAAACTGGGTGGGCATCATTTCTTACGAAGGCTACAGCTTTCATCATTTGCTGGCACAATTGCTTATTTGAATAGCATACCAGCCATTTGCATACAATTGTTTTCTTGATCAAATATACTAGTAGGGCACTCAGGTGCTGACTGCTGTGTAACCAAAACAAGCAACTAAGAAAAGAGGAGGAGGTACCTCTGGTGTGCAGGGTGCAACTAGAAAGTTTGCAGACGTAAAAGCAAAACTTGGGGGAGAGGAAAGCATAAGAAAGCAACCCCTTCGCACAACGCAGCCCGATGTTCAATGACTACAAAATACTAAATCTCTCTTGGACAAAGTGGTGGTGGGGATCAGGGAATTGCGATCCAAGAATAGAATAATTTTGAAATTATTCAAAATTATTGCTGACCGGAACAATGAACAGAAGCCCTATTGCAGCTCTGGCTAGTACTGTTTCTCTCTTAAGAGCAGGAGAGCAAACGATTTGTCTAGTTTTTTTGCTGCTGTTCACTGATAATGTTTCGTTAGTTCATTTCAGGAGCCTTTACAAGCCGTCAAAGTCCTCCTCTGAGCCTGGCAGCATCTTTAGGTGACCCTCTGCCATGAAGTCATCTCCATCTTATGGCAATCCTACAGGGAAAGTCATCCCAAGGGTCCTGTCCTTCACAGACCTGCTCAGCTTGTGCAAATCCTTTATGGGATCAATCCAGCTCATAGTTAGTTTTCCTCTTCTTTGGCCTTCAACTGTCCCCAGCATTTTTCTCCAGTGAGTTTTGACAGCTTGTGATGTACCTGAAGTACAACAGCCTCAATTTTGTCCGGCCTCAATTTTGTCCGTTTTGCTTCCAGGCCAAGTTCTGGCTTGATTTGAATTCGACCTCACTTGTGCATGTTTTTGCTGATCCACGATTTGCAAAGCTCTCCTCCAGCAAGGTGTTTTGAACACATCCATTTCCTTTTCGTCAGTTTTTTTCACTGTCCAGCTTTCACACCCATGCAAAGAAAAAACAAAGTGTAGATAATCAGAAAAACGATAGTGTAGAGATAACCTTGGCCTTTGTTTCCAGTGAAACTTCCTTACACTTAATGATCTTTCCTAGTTTCTTCATTGCTGCCCTTCTGAATCTCAGTCTTCTTTGGATTTGAGCCAGGGTGTACAAAATCTTTCAGTTTCAATTTCTTCGTAGCTGACAGTAAAGTTCTGTATTTCTTCCAGTCAGTTTTTCTTATCTTTAGTTGCAGTCTTACTTTGCACTCTTTCACTTTCATCAGGATAACCAGTACACCGTAAATAGTACTTTAGGTACCTTTCTCCTAATATCCACAATCAGCTTTTGCCTGTGCAACCCCTATAAAATGTTGGTTCAGCTCAAAGGGGTGGATCTAAGAAAGAGCAGGGCTGTAAGAAATTCAAATAAAAAAGAGCAGGGAGGGGGAGGCGGGGACTGAAGAGGGGACTGAAGAGGCCTGACCTGCTGTTGCCACAAAGGTCCTGGGCGACTTGCTTTAAGTAACATTCCTACATGTTTTTGTTGGGTGTGAATCCACATAACAAATTCATGCATATGCAAATAAATTGGCAATTTACTCCAGGGTTTTAAGGATTCTATGCATGCAGCGGACTCTTCTGTGTTTAGACCAGCTGAAGAGGACATGGGATTCCTTTGTTTGCACTGAATTCAAAAGGACATTTGAACTTTGAAGCTTTACAGCCAGTTTTATTTGTATTGGTGCTGTTGCCAGGGTCTTGCATGCATGGGTTACATTATTTTCTTATTATCATTATATAATTGTTTGTGCAGTTTTGTTATAAAATAGTTGATAAGAAGAGGTACATTTTATGTCTTAGGTTGTGTTGCAATGTTCATTTGGAAGCAAACAGCCTCAAAGAATCTAACATTCTTACACTAATACACATCTGGAAAGCAGCAGTCACAACCTTAAGGACTAGAAACTTTTTTAAAGGAAAGAAAGAGCCCAGATTTTCACAGAACAGCACTTAGTACCACATTATCTGCTTTTGTCCTGCTTGTGTAGAACTAAGGTGCAGAAACGTACACAAATAGCCCTGTCTGACTTGGAGGGCAGCTCCCCACAAGCCTGCCACTTCTGTGGTGTTTTTCTTTCTGCATTCCCTCTACATGCTCTCCCCACCCCTGAGTTCTTTTCTTTTGCTGCCTTTCTATTTGTTCATTACACAATTACAAGGCGAAGCTGCAGTACAACAGACTTGCCTAATTACACAAGCTTTTCATCGAGTCATTTGTACATAATACCACGCTTTCCTTGTGAAAATTCTTAGAAAGCTCCGGAGAAGCCCCGAGAAAGGAGTCGCCCCTGCACAGTAAAAGCTTCTTGTAGAAAAGCTGCAAGTTACTTAAATACACACTTACCAAAGTCGCGTTTCCTTCCATTTTTTTGTCCGATCTTCGGGAAAAGTTGAGAGGATTTCTGATGAGAAATAAGGGCCAGATGCTGCAAGAAAAAAAGCAAACTGAGAGGAAGACACAGGCGGAGCTGAAAGGGGGGGAAAAGTTTGCAAGCTATCCTAGCCTGAATTGCTCCAAATCATTCTGTACCATGCATGATCTTGGACTGAGCTAAGGGAAAACAGGGCCACCTCTATCCCTTTTCAGATGCTTCCTAATGAGCACTGAGCTACTTCGATGGCCATTGTGGCCAGTGCACGCCCGCAGGGGCGAGCGAGCGGGGAGCCACTTAAAGGGGGCGAGGAAACACTCTATCAGACTTAAAGATGAACAGCAAAGGAATCAGAAATCTTCAGTTTATAGCTGGCCGGTAGAGAACAGCCTTGGCAAACGGCAAGAGTACGGTAAAGCCTTAATACTCGCTGTGCCACTGGCCCTGCTGGCTGGGATGATGGGAACTGTAGTCCAATGCATCCGTAGGGCACGAGGTTGCAGAAGACTGGCCCAGGAGTCGTGGGTGCGCCCCCTGGAAGCACCAGTGCCGCGTTTCAGCACGCTTTAAAAAGTGCCCCCGGAGAGGGCCTGCGGAGGGCCTGCCGATCCACAAGGCACGACCGCCGCGCATTATACCGCAACTCTTCGGACCCGACTCTCTCGCTGCAAAGACCTACCCCCTTTCGCAGTTTCACACGACGCTGAAGTCGCAGCAGCGGCGGCCCGGCTTTGCCCGGCTGAACGGGCGAGGGCGCTTCGCGGAGGAGCCGGATGCGGTTTGCGAAGTAAGTTCTGGGGAAAGCCCGCATCCGAGTTAAAACAAAAACCCGCAAACACGCAGCCCGCCGAGCGAGCGGGGCTGAGCGAAGCGCCACTTCCTCCGCCTCTGGAGGGTCTGGGCCGCCCCCTGGTGGCCAGCGGGAGGGTTCAGCCCGGGTCAAGCGGAGCCGTTTGGCTCCCTTTAAGGTCGCCCGCCCCGTCCGCTCCTTCAGGGCGAGGGAAAGGCTGAACGCGGCAAGCGCGCCTGCAAGACTCGGGCAACGGAGACTCCACCCCAGGCTTGGGCTTAGCACTCCAATCTCCATGCCCATCTTCGGAGTATGCTTTTGGAATTTGCTGGCTAATTTCTCTGTGCGTGCCTGTAATATAGTTCTCTTTCTTCTTTCTCATTCTTTCTCATTTATTTCATGTTTGTACCACCCAATAGCCAAAGCTCTCTGGGCGGTTAACAAAAGTTAAAAACACAGAAACTATAACAACAAAACCACAGCAACTGCATCCGATCAAACTCTGAATAAATAAACTCTTTATTTTATGAATATGCAAATATTTATTATAATTGATTTTAATGCAACACGATACAATGATTATTTTAATAATATTGATAAAATATCCGATTATTCTGTTACATTTATATTTGATTTAATTTTTCATATATAGATTTATATGGTAATATATTTAAATATATACTCAGATCAGGTGCTAAAGCCAAGTCTCCCAGAGCCTGAGTACCTCATATGCTAATATAACCCCTATGAAATATTGGTTCAGCTCAAAGGGGTGGAAGTAGGAAAGAGCGGAGCTGTAAGAAATTGGAATCAAAAAGAGCAGGAAAACTGAAGAGACTTCAGCTGCTGTTGCCACGAAGGCCCTGGGTGACTTGCTTTAGGTAACATTCCTACAGGTTTGTGTTGGGTGTGAATCCACATAAAAATTCATGCATATGCAAACTCTTCCGTGTTTAGACCAGCTGAAAAGGACATGGGATTCTTTTGTTTGCACTGAATTCAAAAGAACATTTGAACTTCGCATCTCTACAGCCAGTTTTATTTGTATTGGTGCTGTTGCCAGGGTCTTGGGTGCAGGGGTTGTAGTATTTTCTTACAATCATTATATATTATAATTGCTTGCGCTGTTTTGTTTTAAAATTGCTGATAAGAAGAGGTTCATTTAGTATGTTAGGTTGTGTTGCAATGCTCATTTGGAAGCAAATAGCCCTGTAGAATCTAGTAGTCTTACACTAATACACATCAAAATATCATAAGTTGCAAATGAAGGATAAAAACGCATCAGTCTAAAACCATCAGTTTAAGACTCTTGGCATATAGCACTGTGCCACCCACCACAAAACAGCACTTTAACCCAGTGCAGACTGGAATAAAAACACCTCCAAAGCTCTCTTCTCACCTGGCATACTTAGGTGATGCCATCTGCCCATCCGCTGGCAGGAAGTTCTAAAAGTGCAGGGCCACCCCCAGAAAGACCCTGCTCCTACTGGCGCCTGCCAGTCTAACAGGACAGAGTTATGTAGAGTAGTTAGGCGTCAACCCTACTTCTTTTTACGGGGCTTATTCCTAAGGATATCAGGTCTGTTTTGAACTGTTGATAACGGGTGGTTAGGAGAATTATTTGTTCTATCATAGGTACTAATAGCAGACTCAGTTCTTCAGAGAATCCCAGCAACAAGACGGAGGTATTGGCACTCTTATTAGGGGACTGCAAGATTTTCAGAAGAATCAAAGGTCTTCAAGAAAAGGCATGTCCGGGGCATGCTGAGAGTTGTTGTTGTTGTTGTTGTTGTTGTTATTATTATTATAACATTTCTACGCCGCCCCTTGCTGAAGCCTCGGGGCGGCTTACAACACAATAAGATACATTGAAATACAATAGAATATAATAAATTACCAATAAATACAAAAATACAAAAAATACACTGAGAGGACTTTTTCTGGCTTAAGGATAGGATTCTGTCTTAAGTCTGTGCATGAGTGTTCACAAAACCCAAATGGGCCCCTGGCCAAGGTATGTGATTGACCTGTGGGATGGGGAGGATGGACAGGCAAACAGACAGACAGAAAACAGAGTAAGAAAGGTAATAGAATGGAGCTCCCTCAACGTGGAGCGGTCCACCCCATGATATTTTGTGCCAGGTACCTACCCCCTCACACACATCCTTCTTTCTTCAAAACAATGCAGGGAGACTTAAAACAAAGGGATGAAATACAAATAACCACAGCATTTGAATTGACCAGTGAACTTGACAGCCCTGTATTTGACTGCCTTAAAGATGTATTTATTGTGGCATAAACTTTAATGGAACAGAGCCCATTTTAGTCAGATTCTGAACATTTGTCCTGTAGCTGCTGACCCAGAATATCAGTTTCTGTACATGGTATTAGGGTGTGGGAGAGCTCTTTCCACTTGCCCAAGGCAGCAACATATCTTAGCCTACCAAAAGGCCCCGGAGTGGTGAACAGTACAAAGCTAAAGCAAATGAGAGAATAAAAATAACATATTTAAAAACAAGATAACATTAAATACCCCTCAAGGTGCACAGGCTCCTCTTTGCCTGCCTGATTCTCTCTCTGGACCAGGCACTGCTCAGTAAGAGCTGTTAGATTCATAGGTGCAAGAGACAGGGCCTTTCCTGCAGTGGCCCCAACTTGGTGGCATGTCCTACCCACAGGATGTATGTGTGACTCTTTACTCTCCCCCATTACCACTTTCAAACCAATCTTAAAGACATGGATGTTCCAGTCTGTTACTGATCTATATAGATATTATATTTATATTAAAACCTTTTCTCCTGGCAAGGAACCCAGAACAGCATACATGGTCCCTTTCCTTTCAATTTTATCCTCACAACAACAACCATGTGAGGTAGGCTAAGCTAAGAGCTAGTGATTGGCTCAAAGTCCGCCAGTGAGCCTCATGGTCAATGAGGACTAGAACCCAGATTCCCTGAGTAATCTAACCATTACTCTGCACCAGCTCTAAGATAAATAGATGCTTTTAAAGAGATATTGCTACTAGCTGGTGGAAGAGTGAGAACTAAAGCAAGGGATGGATCTGTATTTAATCTGGATCAGCTGTACTGGCAGGAGAAATGCTTCACAGCTGAAAGGGGCCATTTGTGTGTGTGTGTGTGTGCGCGCGCGTGCACGTACGTACGTGTGTGTGTGTGTGTGTGTGTGTGTAAGGAATGGGGATCTTCAAATGACAGAGAGCCCTTCCTCTTGCAGAAGGCAGATCTTGGATCCAACCCCAAATAAAATAAAATAAAAATTTAAAAGCTCAGTCTGGAACTTTTATTGCAGTTAATTTTAAAACCTTTCATGCTTTAATCTCATGTTGTAATTTACCATTTTAAACATCTACTTTGCAAATCGCCTTGAGAAGTCTTTGGTTTGAAAGTAGGCATGTCATGAGCAGAGCTGGCTGGAGGTGGGGTCAGGCTAGATGGCCCAGGAGACCATCATAAAGAAATCATAAAACTTGGGTGGGTGAGTGGATGGAGGATTTGCTGCAGGTCCACAAACAGGAGCCAGGTGCAAAAGAAGCACCCGGAGAACACAAGTATTTGATGCCCAAGAATTCCTTCAGGAGTCTAAGAGCTAAGCACAACTCACAACCCTTTCTTCACACAAATCTAGCCCCGCTTCCCCCAAACTTTTAAAATTTCAGCAGCAGAGTGCTGAATTGGGATAGAGACGGGGAGCAAAGGGTTGATGTTATTGCTGTTGATATTATTAAAGAATTGCAGATAGAAACCTTTGCTCCTCAGCTGCAGAAAGATTGCCCGGAAATCCAGCAGCAGATTGAGGTCCTGTTTGCTCCCTGCTCCTGAGATGCTGCGAGCGAGGGAAGAAAGCCACTAGGGGGCTCTGGCTGGTTTCTCTTGCTCCAGATCCAGGGGAGGAAAGACTCTGCGTGCCTCAGGTCGAGGATGCGGCATCCGGTGCTCCCAGCAGCAAGGGGTGGGAGCGGAGTGGGCTGGAGGCCGGGAGCTGGGCAGGAAGGCCACAATCGCGCGGGGAGAGCGCTTTTAATGAATTTGCAGCTGTTGGCAACATCCAGGCTCTGGCCATGACTGGGCAGCAGAGCATCCGGAGGCCAGGAGTTTAAGGATGCAGTGTCGTTGCTGCAGCTGCTCCTGTTCTGATGCATGAATTAAGTTCCATTCGCAGAAAAAAGGAAAACTGGGATCGGATCCCAGCCGCTCTCTGGAGTCCCTTTTCTTGGAGAGTTGAGAATGCTTTGGTGCCTTAAAGAGAAACAAAACACCTGTGATTTTTATCTGCCTTGGAAAGCTTGTGCCACAATGTTAGTGACTTGCAAAGAAGTGTACTTTGCATGAGCTCAGAGGTTCTCCCGCATTGGTTAATAGTCCAGATATTCCCAGACAGAGCTCAGGAAGTTGAAAACTTGTGCCAGACGTCTCATGAAATTAAAGGCATTATATGCAGAGTTGTAGTTTGACAATTTTATGTTATTTCTATGTTTTATGTTATTTATATTATATTGGTATGTATTTTGGAATTTTATTCATGTAAGCTGTCCTGAGGCTCTCGCAAAGGACGGCATACAAATGTCTTAAAGAAATACAATAAATAATGAATTTTCAGAACTGAGATTTAATCCCCCCCGGACCCCCTTTTTAGATGGTAATGTGTAATTTCCTAGATTTTAAAAAGTGATGAACCAACCGGCTGTGCTTGGGGAGGGGCCTGCTCTTTCTGCCCCTTTTTTGCTGGAGAGCTGCATTGTCCACAGTATTTTTTTTATTATTATTATTATTTTTCAATTTATATCCTGCCTTTTTCCTACAAAGGGCTCAAGGCAGCTTACATCTCCTCCTCCATCTTATCCTCACAACAACAACCCTGTGAGGTAGGTTGGGCTGAGAGTCTGTGACGGGCCCAAAGTCACTCAGCTGGCTCCATGGCTGAGTGGGGACTCGAACCCAGATCGTCTGAGTCCCAGTCCCATGCTCTTAACCACTACACCACACTGGCTCTCAGTATTTTCCCTTGAAAATGGCCACAGAGGAGAAAGCTCAGGTGAGGATTCTCCAGCGCCTCCTCACGAGATCATAGAATCACAGGATAGTAGAGCTGGAAGGGGCCAGAAGGCCATCAGGGCCAACCCCCTGCTGTTGTGGGTCACCAATGTACACCATCCCTCTCAGATGGCTGCCCAGATGCTTTCTGAATGTGTCCAGTGAGGGAGAGCCCAGCACCCCTCTAGGCAGCTGGTTCCGCTGTCATATTGCTCTGACAGCGAGGAAGTTCTTCTTGGTGTCTAGTCTAAA